TATCTTGTAACAATTATTAAACACGAAAAATAAATACAATTGCCGTTTTTCCAAGTCCTTGAATAATGATCACCTTATTTAATACTTTATTTTATATTTTATTATCAAAAATTGATCAAAAAACATTCTGAAGACCTCAAATGACTTTCAGTTTGATCAAGTTTAATTCGAGGTATGCTAACTATTGGATTGCAAATCTCAAAATTCCCTAGATTTAGATTAAAGATTTACTTAGTTTCTCAAGTGCAATATTTTCTTTTTCTCGCGGTGTATTCATTAGTAACCCAGAGTATGGAAATTAGGGTGGTATGCCATGACCATGATGGTGTGGTGTTGCAACGTTGTGGTGGGTGGCAGGTGCCTCGACTCTCAGCAAATTATATTTTGTATCTATGATAAAAATCATTTAATGACAAGACGCGCGCCCGTCTACACAATTAAGCCATTTAATTTAAATGAGATTAATCATAATTACTAGACACGAACCGAAGGACATGCAGAGTGTGGGCTCTAGGCACCCTTGGGCTTTCCTTGGATGTTCTCCTTCCCTCGAAGGACTGCTCCTATTAAGTGGCTTTGGCTACAGCAGAGTCTTGGTTTTTATGGCAGTTTAGCCTTGGTTGCGGTCAAAGAGGGTGGGGCTTTCCCTGACTGGGCTGACGATGTTGATGACACTGATTGACAGCAGCTGCTGGTGGTTTTCATGTGTGTAAAGCCTGCTCCTGCGGCGGCCAGAGCTCGGCACCTTTGCCTCGAGTGAATGCAGCGAGAGTTAATTTAAACACAAGCCGCAGCAAATTAACCTAATGCCAGTCGAGGCTCTTGGCGTTTGCATTAAAACCAAGTGGTTGCCGCCTCAAGTGGCAAGCCTCGAAAAGAGTTAAACCCTTCGGCCGAGTGTGTGTATAAAAAACTACCAATTGAATTTGCTCCTTTACTGCTGGTGCTACTCTGCTCCTTGGTGCAATGCAATTTATGAAAAATAATTTAAATATCAAAAGGCTTTCGTTTTAATTACGCGCAAGACAAAAGCCAAAAGGAGAAGTCAGAACCAAAAAGGAAACGTCAGTTGTCGGTGGTAGAGCGGGCTCGCGACCCCAGTTCTACTTCCAATACTTTCCTCCTTAAGCACTGAGAGAAATATATTTAACAGCTACAATATAATAACTATTAAATTTAACTACTCTTGCAAATTTAAAAGAACTTTAAATCCATTATAAAGTCTGAGCGAACAGTAAGCAAGTAACCTTTACAAGGTCCAAGTTTTGCTTAAAAGTTTCTTCTGAAAATCCCTCTTCTTTCATAATTTATCAACGTTTAATTTTAATTAATTTCCCTTTATTTTTTCCAGTGCATCTGCCAGCTTGGCTTCCCATTGCTGCTGCTTTAATTCCGGGCGACGACGCCATTTCCATGCCCGCTGCGTTTAAATAATTAATTAAGATTGATGCAGACTCATTTGTCTTGCTGCGCCAAGGACGATCCAGCCAGGATGCCGCCTCCTCCAGGCTCCCTCATTGCTACTTCCCTGATTTCCCCGCTTTCCGCGCTTTTCCCGCTTTCCCTGTTTCCCGTTCACTTTGCATTTTGCTTTTCAATTTATTTTGTTGATGTTGCTGCCAGCCGTCGTTCCTGTTGCTGCGTTGCCGTGTTTTATATCGAAAGATTTTGCATTAGTTTGCATTAAAATTTCACTTTGTTGTTTGCCGCCTTTAAAATGGGCCAAAAAACCCGTGGCACTCTCTGGCTTTTACATAAATTTTCCCAGGCCTCTCCTCAGTCCCTGTCTCCCTGCCTCCCTGCCTCCCTGCCCCTTTCCAGACAAAGTTGCATTCGCTGTAATTACATTGTAATGCTCGATCCGGCCCATTGCGCCGCAATATCGTACTCCTCCTTCTCGTCCTCGTTAGTCCTGGCATTTCGCTTAGTAAGCACGCATCGGAGTCGCTTGCCAAATAGGCGGATTACAATGCAGAAATGAGTTTATAAACAAGCCCCCAGACCGCACAGATAAAAAATAATTGCAATTGCCGGGGCGGACAAGCGAATGAAGCTCAATCGGATTGGAGAATTACCCACTAGACCATAAATCTTGGTAGCCTTTTCAGGGGTTCTTAAATACAAATCAAATTTAAATGGAAATTGTGGCCATATCTTGTTACTTACAATTTATAAAAATGGAACAGACTAGCCACAAAGAAAAATATTTAATTAAAGCAGCAGAAAGTTGTAACAAGAATCAACGAATTTTAAATACACTTTAAAAGGTGTCACATAATTGAATCAATAATAAATGTATAATATTCAGCTCATATATAGGGGTTTCCAGAAACCCTTTAATTTAAATTTAAATACAACAAATGCACACTTAAACTGCTTAATTAATTGAAGAAATATTTTACTGGAAATACGTTTCAAAATATAAACACCAATATGTTTCCCACTCATATAATAAAATCTCCTTTTCATTGATTGACTTTCCCCATAATTATATATATAATTATATATATTAATTATAATATTTTACACACTTATTTCTCTGGGTGTACTTGGTTATATGTGTCCCTTTGTTTTATTTGCCAGATGCAATTATATTATCCCTATTTGGAAATGTAAATTTTGTTTAATGTGTGCGTGTGGCTATTTTTTTTTTTAATGGCGTAATACGGGCTAACTTCTTGATTTTTACCATGCATTTATTTATTTAAATAATCCCATTTTGTTTGGGCACTGCGCCATCATGGCACCGGCTGTTGGCCGGTATCAAAATTTAAATTTAAATAATAATTAGTGGCGCGAAAATGGCTTGCAATGAATCGAAGCCCCGTTCGCAAATTGGCAAATAAAAACATAAAATTAAAAAACAAAAGCCTCTCTCTGTTGTTGTTGTTGTTGCAGCATCTCTGCCGCTACTGTTGCTAATGAAAACGAAATTAATTAATTTAAAACAACAATTGAAAGGTCTGGCCCGGGCCATTACGTGTTTGGAGAAGGGCAGCCAGCCGGGGCGTATACGTAATTTCACTAGCACCCACTGCAAAACCCTGACATCCATGCAGATATATACATATATATATCGGTATATATATATAATATCTGAACTGTGTGAGCTCGGGTATATTGCCAGCGATTGAAAACGCCCACACTTTGACTGGGCTGTCATGCATATGTAATTATTTCATAGCAAGCAAAACGATTCGCACGGCAAATGTTTGGGCCGTGCAAACAGGCTTTGAGAGAGAGGACGCCACTTGCTGGGGGGCGTCCTCTTTTTCCAGGACCTGCCACGCCCCCCAGTTTCGGTCGCTGGCATATTAAAAAAAAAAGAGAAATAAAAAAAAGGGAAAAGTGGAAGTAAATCTGTACACCGAAAGGGAAGCTCTTTGCTATTCACAGAAACTATTTTAAATATTTTATATTTTAAATTTTAAAATATACTTAGGAATATATATTATATATTTAATACCCTTTTTAGTATCCAGAACAAAATTTTAAATATTTCTTTAGTTTCATTTCATGAATTTCTAAGTTATTCAAAGGTAAAGACTTTCTTCCACCGAAAGGGAAGCCTTTTGGTTTATGTTAAATTCACAGAAACTATTTTAATATATTTTATAACAAAATTTTAAATATTTCTTTAGTTTCATTTCATGAATTTCTAAGATATTCAAAGGTAAAGACTTTCTTCCACCGAAAGGGAATCCTTTTGGCTTATATTAAATTCACAGAAACTTTTTTAATATATTTTTAATTTTAAATTTTAAAATATACTTAAGAATATATATTATATATTTAATACCCTTTTTAGTATCCAGAACAAATTTTAAATATTTCTTTAGTTTCATTTCACGAATTGCTAAGAAATTCAAAGGTAAAGAATTTCTTCCATTAATTTTACTTTATATCCTATGTAACATAATCAACTCCATAATGATTTAATATATATACTATATAGCTTCCAAAATCTTCTAAAAATATTACATTTACCCTCTCAATTCGCTTAAATTTCTTTTCAGTGCCTCAAAAGTTGGGCAAACAGCGTTGAGCAGGCAAAAATTGTTGCATATATATTTTTTTCGGGGGCAGGGGGAGAAAAAGCGACGCAGAACCAAAAGCAGTGCCATTGCCATCGCCTGGCAGGTAAAAGACCAAAAGCACCAAAAGACCACGTACTTAGCCTGATTTACACGTTGCCAGGCCGTTGCCATGAAGAGGAGCAGCCGGCGAATTTGCATCACAAATGTGTGTCTTTTTCAGGTTGCTTGACTTTGCATAACCCCTTTTTTGCGAAGCTCTCACCAATTGTGGGACATGGGTGGCATTTTGGAAACCAAAAGGGGGTGATGATGACTCAAAGTAATAGAGCAGCGGGGAGGGATGACTTCATTTCATATTTTTCTCGGGCATCATTTGCGTGTGATTTGCATTACAAAGAGATAGAGAGACCTGTGTTCTCTTCTTTTTTCAACCTTTTCCCTGCCTGCATAAAATATCGAATGTCGCCGGGTCCTTCACTCACTCATCTCGAGTCGACTAATTAACAAACATTTCTAATCTTTGCCTAAGTTAGTTAAGTGCCTTTTGAGTAACTCTTCTGACAGCCTCATTTCGATCTGGTAAGGGGAAATAAAATGCCTCGTTTTTTGGTCTTGTAATATTTTCAATTTTGGAAATTTGGCATTTCAGTTCTGCGCGTCTCTGATTCGGTTTTGTTTGGTTCAGTTTCCATTGGTTTGTTGTGTACTAAATTTGTTTGCAATTTGTAAAATCAATTGAAAACTACAAGCCAGGCCGGACGCCAGAACATTCATCAACGAGGACCCAGGACTCACATGAAAAGGCGTACACAAAAGGATATCCAGGGGGGGGGGAGGAAACAAAAAGGCTCTCGACTTGAAAGTGATTTATGGGAATGCATATTGATATTGCCAAATTGCAATCAAACTCGAATGAATATTCGAAATTACAAAAACCCTAAAAATGTGTCAAACAGAACTTACCTCAAAAATATTGTGTGTGTCTTGTCGAAATCTGCAATGAAAATTAAGGTAATGAAAATTTTAGTAAACAGTTTGGAATTGCAGTTAACATGTAAATGTAAATCAAACTGATTTTGGAATAGAGAAATGCTCATCGAAATTTCAGAATAAATATGTAATCAGTAAGCAAGTAAAAAGGTCCAATTTGATTAATTTTTTATATAACTAAAATGAAATATATACCCCAATAATATGTTTTACCAAAAACTAAGAGCAATCGATACTTGAACTTATTATCGAAACCAACAATTTAATTATTCAACAAACTATGCTAAGTCGATGTTTGGATGCTTTCTAACATTTGCTTTGTCAGCTTGTCCAGAATGTCCTTTCTTTGTATTTGCATTTTCCGTGTTTTCCTATTTGTTTAACGTTCAGACACCGCCACATACTCACACTCACACACAACACACTTACACACACACATTTCATTTGTTTAGACGGTGTCCAATGGTCTATGAAAATTTTCCAACATGGCGTTGCGCGCGCTGAAAGTTGGCCAAAATGCCGGAATTGGGGAGGCCATCGAATATATAATGGTGTCATCGGCAAATGGTGGGAAAATGGGGAAAAATGGGGGCAACAAAAACACCGACCACTACACACTTGCAAGTGGATCAATAAGTGAGCTTATCGTCTGTTTTACACAAATACTTTTGTCCACTGGACATTGCAAATTTGACGGCATTTAACGAACAAGCCCCAGCCTCCTTCCATCCCGTCCACCTTAACCGCTTTTATTTTTTGCTCGAATTTGTACGACTCTGTTTGACATTTAATTCCAATTGCTTTTACCTGCAAATTGACGTTTCATGTGTATATAAAATGGTAACATTTATACGTATATATTTGCTGTACAGCATTCCCGAAATCAATTTACGCCGATAAGTGACATTATAAATGAGCCAGGGAAGTAGGAAGTTTCGAGTTGAATTTGGTCGACGATTTCGATTTATGGAACATATATGTATGTATGTATATATATCTAGGAATTGCCTTTATGTCATTCCAATTTTCCCAGTGTCTGCATCTCTTTTCCTTGCCACTGGTAGTTATAAAAAAAAATAGAGCCCACTTGCTACATTCTTGTCCATGTATATTTTGCATTTGATGTATTACCTTTTTAATTGCCATAAAGCATTTTCATGTTGCTAAAAGCCTGTCCAGTTCTGTCCCTCTCTCTCTATATATATCTAGCTAGCTATCTCTTTCTATGTACCTGCAAGTGTGTACACCTGTCCATGGGCTTATGCATTGTGAACATGCGAACTAATAGCTGCAGAAGCAACTTGTAACTTGGATTGCTGATTTTCTGTAATTAAAACCATCTCCGGAGGGTTGTCTGTACGACATGTAGCAGATTTTTTTATTATTACTTTTTTCCTGCTTTTCCTAGGACTTGATTAAGTTCATTAACATTAGTAGCCAGGCCATAATCATATTAACTAATATTGATTGACTGTTGTGACATGGACTATTGACTCATCAGTGTGAAGAGTTTTTTTACACAGAGAGAATAGGTCTGAAATTTCAATGAAATCAGAACTGCCTGATAAGTTTTTGACTATGAATTGTGTGAAAAGATTATTTGTATTAACCTAAGGACTAAAAATTTATTTTAAATGCATTTCTATCACATTTTGAGTACCAACAATTGGCTCACACTTATTATTAAATCTTCAGAACTTTTTAGTTCTTTATTTTCATAATAAAATGTTTTATTAAAATTAGATTTCAGTGCATTCCAAAGCGTGTAATTTGCTCTAACAATAAGTACGAATGTTTACAAGCTATAAAACTACCCATACAATACCCTTGCAATACCCCAACCTTCCGACTCATAATGATATATAGACCGCAAATGCTGTACACATTTACAGGACTAAGCGAGCGTGCCACTGACATACACACACACACACACACAAAAGCTTTAATTGTTATTTTAATGATAACAAGAAAGGAAGCTAACTTCGGCACGCCGAAGTTTATATACCCTTGCAGATAGAACTTCTATGACTTGGAATCTGAACAATATAAATTATATTTATTTGTGTTAAAAATAATGAAGTAATACCTGCTTTCATTTCATTCACCTATACATATTATATTTGCAATTTTACATTCGCAGATTTGCATTTTTCCTCTACATCAAACAATCGTTTGTATGGCACCTATATAACATAGTCGTCCGATTTTCATGAAATTTGACACAAAATTTAAGACTAATACAAAATGGCTATACCTCAAATTTGATGAAAATCAGCTGAAAACTGAAAAAGTTATAAATTTAATTGTATTAATTTCTCGACCGTTCCTATGGGAGCTATATGATATAGTAGTCCGATTTTCATAAAATTTTATGCAAAATTGTAGAGTATAGTAGAATGGCTATATCTCAAATTTGATCCAATTCTATTGAAAACTGAAAAAGTTAAAAATTTTTTTGTAAAAATTTCCGATCATTCCTATGGCAGCTATATGATATAGTCGTCCGATCCGGCCCGTTCCGACATATATACGAGTGAGAGTATATAGAAGGCTAACTACAAAGTTTCATTCAGATAGCTTCAAAACTGAGAGACTAGTTTGCGTAGAAACGGACAGACGGACAGACGGACAGACGGACAGACGGACAGACGGACATGGCTAGATCGACTCGGCTGTTGATCCTGATCAAGAATATATATACTTTATATAGTCGGAGGTGCCTCCTTCACTGCGTTGCAAACTTCTGACTGAAATTATAATACCCTGCAAGGGTATAAAAATGGAGACAAATTACAATTTCCCCCCTTCCGAATAATTTGAGGGCGGAGTGGAGCGGTGCTAGTGGCCATAACAATGCCAGTAACAGCGACAGCACCAGCCATAAAAACTAATAACAAACAATAGCAACAGTTCATTACCGCCGTCGGACTGCGTTCCACATTAGGCCCCATTTGGAGAGCCTCCCAGGATATGCCACTCCATGCCTCGTCCTGGCACATATCCTGCGACCATGTTGTATACCTACAAATCGACTCATTCGGCAGATTTATCTGTTTGCATTAGGCGCAAAAGGAAATCGATAAAGCACCGCTGGGAATTAATGAGCACACAATATAAGGGGGATAAGTGGGACAGACACAGTTAAAGGATTCTATGGGTTTTTATATTAAAGTAATATATATATAAAATATCCTTTAATTTCCCCTAGTAAGCTTTCCTGCTCAACAACTTCATAAATTCTTAAATTTATGTCTTTATGTCTTTGTCTGCAAAGCCCCTCATTTAAGGCCAAAAGGAAAATCAAGCATAGGCGTGGCCTTTGCTTGCATGTCAAATGTTCATTTGACAAAATCAAAATAGAATAATTTAACTTTTAATTGGCAAGGAGCTGAAAGTTCACGTTCTTGTTGTATGTAAATATAAAGCAAAATGCCTTCTCCTTCGACTTTTACTCAAGAGTTGATTTTAAGATCCAAATTTAGGCCCTTTTGATCCCACCACTTTAAAACTACTTCTTGGCCTTTTCTAGTTCTACCCAACGAATCGCTGGCCATAAATTCCTTGGCCCAAATGGGAACCAGCGAACATTCCCTGCCCCCGTGCCACTTACGAATTCATTTCACTGCCGCACTTTATCACCAAAAGCCGGGAATGTGGGTCGGCTTCTCCTCTAGAAAAACACAACAAAAAAATTGAATAAAAATGCAGTCGGCGTGTGCTACTACCCAGCAACTACGTGTATTTCAAGTGCATATTTTGTTTGATAAATTGTTTGCCACGTTCCAAGTCGAAACAAAAAGGACGAACGCGAACGATGGGGATATCCCAGGAATGGTCGCCCGGGGAGACACAAATATGGCAGCGGCCCGGCCAAAGTGTATAAACGTGCGAGCTTCAAGGGATCCCAGGGAGATCCAAGGGGATCCAAAGGGGATCCCAAAGATCCCATTCCCAGCAAGACCATTCGTTGAGCTACTAAGGATATACATATATGCAAAGTAAAAGTCGGACCCCGAGGCGGTAAACAACCTGGCGACGACGACGACGAAATATGAAAGTGTTAAATGGCCCAGGGAGTGGAGCAGAAGCTACATCAGGAGCAGGACCAGGAGCAGGAACAGAAGCAGGAGCAGCAGTTGGAGTCATGTAGAGCTGACTAGCATTTTTTTAACTCAATGCCACTGCCAGGGATTCCTTGGAAGCAGTCACTGTAAGAAATCAGCTTGAAAGGATTAAGGCTCTTTAAGGCTCTTTAAGGCTCTTTATTAAAACAAACCCCTGCGGCTATGCTAAATATTACCCAGAATTTAATCTATATTCTAAAGTATTCTCTCTTTCTCAATTTTGAAATTAATATAATCTCTATTTAGGCATTTTTCTCTCAGTGCCCACACCCTTGGAGCGGTGAGCTCATATCTTTGACTCGTGTCTATGATATTTTGTTGACAGAATTAGGTCATTGCCTCCGAGCAGCGCCCACAAGCTTTGGCCAAAGATTAACATGCAAAGCAGTCTTGGGGGCAGCCAAACGTGGAAGGTACAAAAAAAAACCAGCAGAACTTTAGCTCAGTACACATGGCAACAACGTAGGAAAATTCTCCATATATTTACAACATAATGTCCGAACCAAAATCTTTGTGAATCCATGAATTTTAATTGCAAACTTTTAGAGCCACACTTTGTCGCCACAAGAGAAACCCTCGAAATTAGCCAGAAACCGCATGGCCACAATTATATGGGCCAGCCAAATATTTGGAGTGTCATCCGTTTTGGCTCACATCTGTGCAGTTGTAAAAATATTGTGGCAATAGTGTGTGTTGTCAAATTTTTTGCTAACAACCAACACACACATCGAGCATATAGCCAGCTGCATAACAAAATATTTGCGGAATTCTGTGACAGCTGTCCATGGCTAGTTGGGAGCTCCCGAAACTTCCTGGGCGGCGTCTGGTTGTGACACCCGCGTTCCACCAGAAATGGGTCAGAATGAGGCAGTTGGTAATG